AAAAATGTTTAGATGTGGCACTTCAAGACATGGTTTGGTGGATTTAGCAGGCATGGTGGCATTGGGTATACAGTTGGACTTGATGATTTTTGAGGTCTCTTCCAACCATGATGATTCTATGATTCTATGAAAGCCTATAGCTAGTGACACATGCAGTAAACCCTGAGGTGGAAAGGATACGTAGGCCTGTATCTGCTAAAAACATGGGTAGTGGAGGTCAGCTACACATATTCAGGTTAGCAAAGCACATCTACCTGTGCTCCTTCACTATGTTTGCTTCTGTAGAGGCCACCTGACACCATTTGAGAGCTTGATTAGCTGCTACTTTTCTCACCACAATTTAACCGTGCAACAGAACGAGCAATGGGGTGATACACACCTTTCACTCTTGGCCATGAGAATGAAAGAGAAGATTTACAGCTACAGGCACACAGCACAGGGAGGGCCTTCCTCAATAACTGTAATCTGCATGGTTCCACTTCTGCCTTTGTGTTTCAGGCTCCATTCACAATAACTTCCCCATTACTACTTAACTGCTAGCATGCTCCCTGGCTATTTGCATCTAGGTGAAAGCACGGCTCAGGGGGCAGCGTATGCCAAGGAGAGCTTCTAGTAGATAGTGTGGCATCACTACCCTGTGTCTGGAAGGAAGAGAGTTTCCTCGTGGAGAATGGTGAGGCAAATGGAAAAAGCAGGTGCATACAGAATTATGTTTCAACACAAAATTATCATTTGCTTTCTGGCACACACTGAATCAACCTAGTCCACCTGTATTCCTGAGCAGACAGACCTTTTTTTGATGCTGGCAAGCAGGCATCAAGTAGTAGTATTTATAATTTCTACTTACTTAGGGATGATATGGCATGCCACTTCCATTTTTTAGATGCTACCAGGCAACGTGTGATTCCTTTAGCTCACCAAAGCACCTGGGGCTTGGCGATAGGCTGTAACTGTCTTTTCCTACGATGTGTTTGCATCACTGCAGAAACTCGCTGGGGAACATGATGATCTCAAGAAAAGTCATAAGGAAGTGAAAAAAAACCTTGATGCATCAAAAGCCAGGAACAAAGTACTGTGCAGCGAAGTGAAAACCCTGAAGGGACAGATTGTAACCTTGCTGGAGAAAGGAGAACACGACAATGAGTTCATAGACGCCTTACTGGTACAGTCTGACTATTAATATTGGTCCCAACCACTGCAGATCAGCCTTTTTTCTATAAGTAATGAAACATGATGTCATTTAATGACATGATGACACAGACAACCTTAGGGTATACAGGAGCCTGATGACACAAACTGTGATAGCCAGAGGTTTCCTAGTCAGCCCTTCTGCATTTTGGATCAGATCATGTACAGGCTGCAACACAGCACAGGCGTGACACAGTTGCAGTCAAGTGGCTCTAAGCTGCAAGTGTTGGAAGAAATGTTTTGCAGAAGGATTGAAATAAGATTGTCTAGTAGGTAGAGGAAGGGCTTCATTCCTGACCCGTGAAAAATGGCTGCTGTCATGGTCTTGCAGGATACTTTTGTCCTGCCATGGTTCTAAATAGTCTTCCCCAATGACAATAATTTTTAAAAAAAAATTATTAGAAAATATGCCACTTCTTAGTAGGGTTAGTTCTGTGTTTCCTGCTAGAGCACCTCACAAGTTTCAAATCACATTTCCTTGCTTCTGTATGGAAGTTTTAGCTAAGACATGCTTATGACTGAGCTGGCATCCACCTTTCTGCACACCAGGCAGCCATGGGGGAATATGGGTGCTGACCAGCAGATGAGGCAGATTACAGAGGAGCAAAATAACAGTTGTCGCTTTTCCTAGGACTGAGCATTCTCACTAAAGCCAAATAACAGTTGTCGCTTTTCCTAGGTCTGAGCATTCTCACTAAAATTATTACAGAAAGATGCGAGTTTACTTGGGAAGGAATGGTTAACTTCTTTTATCCCTTACATCAAAGAAGCACCTCGCTTGCAGTTTGTTGGCCTGACAGAACAA